TCTAAGCTGCTTAGCGCGAAGCCGCGGCATCCCCGTTTAGGGATTCTTCCGCGTCTTCGCACCTAGCAGCCTCCCGGTCTATCCGGGGCTCCACGGCAGGGCTCCCCCGGGGTATCGCGGGGACCTCGCAGACGTGCGCAGGATGACCCGCGAATGGGGGCTGAGTACGTGGCCTAGTGCCCACCGTACCGCCCCCCGTCCGCTGAGGAGGGCTACTTGGTCGTGCCCGTGTAGCTCCTCTTCTTTGCAGGATAGAACTACAAGGGGGGGCTGCCGTAACGGGGTCCGTCGGTGGCCGGCACAGCTGACGCCATGCCGGTCAGCGAGGGCCCGGGTAGGGTCATGAGACGGGCGCAGCCAGGGCGCGCCGCCGTTCTCTCCTACCCGTACCCGAAATTTCAATAACTTACTGAGTGTGATATTCTTATTGTACGGGAAAATTGGTAAAGTTACCGGGAATTTTGTGAATCTTCCCAGTTAATTTCATGCCTTCTTCAAGGGTCTTAAAAATTAAAGGTTAAATACTTATATTTATAATGGTGTCGATTCTGACATGATTCTCTAAACTCAAAACTAAATTTAACATCAGTCTGTCCTTTTCATCCCCTATTGAGAATGACAGGGATACACTGTTGTCAATTTTAAGTTTAGCTTTAGAGAATCATGCCAGAATCGACACCATTGACTATATATTTATAATAACTTAGTTATAACTTATAAAATAACATTTTGAAAATTACAGTTTTGAATCTTTACAGATTGAATAGATTTTCATTATCTGTAAATTACAAAATGCTAGTTGACTGGGTGTAATACTCGGAATTGCTAGAGTACTAAACAAGTTGACTCTATGGTTACCTCTTTTTTATGTATGTGCAGTGTGCAGGCAAACGAGCTCACAGTCCACCTGATGGTAAGTGGCCACTGCAAACCTATGGACACTTGCAGCCCCAAAGGAAATGGCTTACCCTTGTACCTGAAGGAGTTTATAACTGTAGTACCAGCTATCTTCGCGTTTGGACTTTATCACCACTTTACAGCAGGTGGGGTAGAGTCATTTGCCTATCTGAATAGGTATATAAAAAAAAGTGTCCTGCGCCGGTGTTGTGTACTGTATGTCGTACAACATTGTGGTGTTGTGCAGAAAGCTGACCTCCTTGTTGATACTGTACACCACGTTTTTTTTAGTGTGCTAGACGACGACGTAATCGGAGGGATGTACCCCACGTACTTGAGCTCCAGCACGCAGTTAAGGGACTCCACCAAAGCGGAGACGAGACGAACGGAGAGGAGATGTTTTTTAAACAACCAATAGAATTGTATTGTTGACACATCTCCTCTCCGCTCAGCTTCAGTGGAGATCGCTGTGCGGAGATGTGTAATATTTGTATGGCGCGATAAAAGCGGAGATGTGAGCTGGGCGCGGACGACGCGCAGTGGAGACGAAAGATGTGAGCGGCGTGCAGTGAGCGGTGTCACCCTCCCCCCTCTGGCCCGCCACAACCTGCAGAACCCCGCTGAGCACTCAACGCCTCGCACCCGAGCTGAAAAACATCTCTTCTCGCATAGTACACAGCACACCGCACATATCTCCGCTTTGGTGGAGTACCCCGAGCTGAAAAACATCTCTTCTCGCACAGCACACAGCACACCGCACACATCTCAGCTTTGGTGGAGTACCCCGAGCTGAAAAACATCTCTTCTCGCACAGCACACAGCACACCGCACACATCTCAGCTTTGGTGGAGTACCCCGAGCTGAAAAACATCTCTTCTCGCACAGCACACAGCACACCGCACACATCTCTGCTTTGGTGGAGTACCCCGAGCTGAAAAACATCTCTTCTCGCACAGCACACAGCACACCGCACACATCTCTGCTTTGGTGGAGTACCCCGAGCTGAAAAACATCTCTTCTCGCACAGCACACAGCACACCGCACACATCTCAGCTTTGGTGGAGTCCCGGCCTAACGCGTGATTATTTACTCTACCAAACTACCCTACTCGGAATAGGTAGAGTACTAGTCGACTAAAGGCCTACGCAGACCGGGACGGCATGGCAAGGGATTTAAATTTTTACTAATGGACATTCAACAGTACTGTTACAGAAATACGACATAAATTGCTATGCTTTAAAATGATGCCGTGGCATTGAAAGGGATTTTATCGCGCGGCATTAAAAGACGTGCCACAGGCTCCCGTGGCGGGGTGCCATGACATACTGCGGTAGGCAACGGCATGCCACGGACTCCGGCGCTCGTAGGGATATACTGCGGGGTGCGGCGGCGGGGGTAGAGAAGCGGGGAATTCACCCTTAGATTCACTTTCTTTCCATACATTATCAACCCAAAATCTTCTTCTATCCCTATTATTAGCCTATGCACCTACTTCTTCATCTGTAATAATCGATATCAACGCCAAATCCTAATCTACCATTTTAAAACTGAGGCACCCCAACATTCGATCAAACGCAACTGAAGACTAAAAGTGTATCGGGCAGCAGTGCCGCGGCACGCCGTGGCATGCCGTGGCATAGTGCTGGTGCAGTGCCAAATCCCTTGCCATGCCGTCCCGGTCTGCGTAAGCCTTAACAAGTCGACTCTTTTTTTAACTTCTACCCGTTTACCTTTTAGATTTTGAAGTGAAAACTCCTTTAACAGCGTTGTACACTTTTTTGTATGGGTAAAAAATGTTAAACTCGCGTCAGGTTAAACACGTGGGTTGATCGCATCATGACACACAATAAAATTGGAAAGGTTGATGACTTTCAATATATTGGACGAAACGTAGTAATATTTTATTTTACCGTGTTATAATAATAAGTCTCTATCTAGGACGTCCACGTGGCAGCTTTATTGCGAAGAAAATGCATTTTTTTTACAATAGATGTCGCTATGTGCGCTTATATGTGATTCATGGAAGTGGATTTCTTTACAATAGATGTCGCTAAGTGCGCTAAAACGTGATTCATGTTAGTTGATTTTTCTGAGAGATAAACTTTTTTAATGTAATATAAATTGTCATGTTTGTGTACGATCGCTCAATAAATAAATATTGTATTCTACCACATACATGATAGTATTTTTATACTGATAATTAAAGCAATTCGTGCAAAATTATTCCCTAACCCTTCCAAAATATCAAAAATGCACAACGTTAATATTCAAGTTTTCACTTCTGCCGTCACTCCCGGAGTGCAACCCGTCGTTTTTTCTTCTTCTAACGGCTGTTCTCATAGCCAAAAGAGAAGAAGAGAGGGATGGAGAGAACTACGCTACGTGGGTTTCAAGTTCGCATTGCACAGACTCCCCAGAGGAAGATGCCTCTTATGCTCCTGGGCATCTTCATCGAGGGGGAGAATCACCGGTGGGTATGTGTCCAGTCTTAGCAGGGTGCCATAACTACTCTCGCATTCTGGCCACACATTCTATGGACCTAGGTCCGCGTGTCAGGTGACTGCTGCAGGAGCATTGTCTACTTTTAAGGTTATCATCCGTCCAGACTTTGTCAGGGTCTTTAAATTGTCCGAATTTATTGAATTACATTTGATATGAATAATAAAAGTACATATTGATGTAAATACCATACCATTGTAACTAAGTGAGAAATGTTATAGTAATATGTATGTTATTGACGGGATTGCTACCATGTTCCTTGTTTTTAGCGAGTTTCCGATATATCGGCACTGCTGCAAGCGCCATGATCACAGAGTAACCATGAAAGTGAGTAATGGTACCAATTTGTGACTAAAAAGTCCGGACTTTTTTAGAAATGTCACGACTTTTGTCAGGACTTTTGAAATTCTTACATGGTAACCCTACTCCTGCACCAGTCACCGCTCCACCGCTGAACGAAAAAAAAACTAAAAATTTCACTCTCATCATTTTTTCATAACGCGCCTAAAGAAGTATAACTTCAAAAAGCGGTAAGAAGTCTCATATATCTTCGTGCTGCTGGGTGCAGGGCCAACAGTTTCTGCTTACGTTTGGGATGTTTTTTTAATTCGCGCCTTCACAGCCTGTATCACTGCTGGAGTCTTAACAGACCGAGGGCGACCACTTCTTGGCCTGTCATCTACACTAGAGTCTTCATTGAATCGTATGATGGTACGATAAACGAATCTATTGGTTATATGCAAATTTTTCAGTATGTTAAAAATTTGAATTGGCGCGTAACCGCAACGATGCAACGCAATAACTGCAACACGGTCTTCTTTAAGCGTCCACTTTATATTTAAAAACGAGTAAATGTCTAAAAAGTATACATTTTTATTTTCATGAACAATTCGAAATTCGAATTCAATAAACTTTTTTGTGGCCAGCATTGGTGAACGGAGAAGGTTTCTAGACTTGATTGGCGTCAATTATATTAAATTTTCCTATAAATTTCATTATTCTTGTATGCATGCATTTTTCAAATACCTTTGACAGAACCGATATTAAGGCTATTATGGGCCGGTAATTCGCTGGATTATCCTTATCTCCTTTTTTGTATATAGGCTTAATGTTTGTGATTTCTAAATTGTCAGGAAAGATACCCTGTTTAAATAATACGTTTATGATGTGTGCAAGAGTTGGTGCTATTATTTGTCTACACTGTTTGGTGTAGACAAACTATCAATCCCAAATTATTTTTAAAATTTCGTCCGGATCAGTTGGAAATAAATACATACTAGAGTCATTTTGTTTTATATAATTATCATATCTTATGTTTGTTAAGTCAATGTTACATGAACTTATAAAATACTAGCTGACTCGGCGAACTTCGTACCGCCCAAAAGTAATAATTTGCAATAAATTAAAATTGCGACTATAGTTTGAGATTTAAACTATCCTATCTCTCAAGTTGGATCGAACTGCACATGGTGTGCGAATTTTATTATAATCGGTTCAGTGGTTTAGGAGTCCATTGAGGACAAACATTGTGACACGAGATTTATATATATTAAGATTTACATAGAATTTCGCATATATGTCCTATGACTAAAACAGGGCATTACCTTTCTTATACGTCCTGAAGGAATCCTGCGCCGGTGTGTACTGTATGTCGTACACCAGGGTAGTGTTGGGCAGTAAGCTGATCTCCTTATTGATCCTGTACACCGCGTACTTGAACGCCAGCTCGGCGCTGCCCCCACGGGCGTCCTCGGTGAATATGGCACCTGGAAACGGTAGCGCTCGTTGTTACAAGCATTTAGCAGTAGCAAATCAATAGAAAACTATTTCATTATCAGCCTATTAATGTACCCACTGCTGGGGCATAAGCCTTCCCAATGGATGGAATAGGGAGATTGGGTCATGACACACCACTGTTGGGTGCTGACTGCAGATGCAGCCGAGACCAACGGCTTAACGTTGTCTAATGAACTCGAGATAGAAGATTTATGGTCACCCATCCAATGACCGACCACTGCGAAAGTTGCTTAACTTCAACGTTCGCAGCCGAACGCGCTAACCACCTGCGCCATCGAGCTCCTCAAAAAAGAAAACTATTTATTACTACATATTTTATTTTTTTATTTATTTGTATTCAGGCATCGTAGGCCCATAGAAATATATACCTTATAGTCTAACATACGTAGATATGAAATATAAAATAATTACAAATTCTAAATAACACGTTTAGTCGGCGACGTGTGGCGCGGAGTGGTGTCAGGTAGCCTGCCTTTGAATCGCCGGAACACCACACATTTCGGCCAAAGCTCCTCTTTCAAAAAAATGTGTGCGTGTACTAGAGTACACACGTAAGAAGTGAAACTTCTTTATGGCCTTATTTTTCGAAAAATGATGTACATGCAACTTTCCAGAAATTGGTTAAATAAAGTTAAATTAGATATAGTTTAAACAAAAGGATTTTATTATCATAGACATGAATACAAACAAGATTTCATTTCATTTCATTTCATTGCATTTTTCGCTTCGCTTCACTTCACTTCACTTCACTTCAATTCATTTCATTTCATTTATATGTTCATCGTCGTTGTTATTACCAAAAAAAAGATGGCGCGTAACCAAAAAATGTGACGCGTAACCGAAAAATGTGACAGTAAATTTTTTTCCAACGCCGATAAAGAAGTTTCACTTCAAAAAGTCGCCAGATGTTCAGTCGGCACTCTCACCACAAACGAATTAAAATTCACGTCGTGGCGAGACTCCAAACGTGTGACCCTCAGGGAGAAATTGGTCTTCGTACGCAAGTATTCTGCGATCCCATCCGCCTTCGGACCGATATTTTTTTTTTTTTGTTCTAGATCTGCAATCAGTCGTAGACTATAAGCAAATTTGATGTGTGAATATGATGTCTTTTCCTTAGTGTATCTACCATTGGAGACTCCTGCCACATTAACTAAGTCTAGTCGTTTTCTAGTATTACACGGCGTTTCAACCTTGTCTTTCTTTTTGTTTTTATTAGTTGGCAAGCTAGGTCATTCGGGTGATTAACAAACAAACAAACAAAATCGTTTATTCAGTACAGTACACGGATACAGATAAAATAGTTATAGTTAAAACTTACAAAATAACTGATATCACTCCGTATCCACGGCTGCGCTGAAAAGGGCCCAGTTCAGCATAATGTCAGTGCAGTATGCACTGGCGCTGGTTTTCAACTGGGTCCTTTATCTGACAAGTGAATGTCAAACACTAACGATTTTTATAATGCATATTAATATAAAATATAAAGGAAATAATAAAAAATGGGGCAAGGCTGTGTTAATCCGTTGCCTTTGCACCGAGACTAGATAATTAATAATAAAAAAAAATATATATATTCAAGGTCACAAGCATACAAGCATAGATTCTAATAAAAGAGGTTATCGCTACAAACAAACACAAAAACAAAGCTTAATTTGAGCAAAGCAATTAAAATACAGTATTATCCCGTATAGTAAACACCACTCAGATGAAATGGAACCAATCACACAGCACAAGTACGTTAAGTACAATAAATGTGCAAGCTTTCAATATTAAAGGATAAGCATTGTGTAGTATTGCGTACCTATCTCTTTATTTATATAAGTGTGTGTTAAACCATGTGTGTATATGTAAATATAAGATAATAAGTTATGGTACATAAAATATATATAAATATGATAAATATTTGTTTTCTATGATAGTACATATTTTGTGAAATTTAGGTGTAGGCCTGAAAGGCAATAAATATATAAATATATATATTTATTGCCTTTCAGGTCCTGATCTGTTATTGAAGTAATTGATTCTGGGCCTACATCACCAACTAAGCAGCAAGAATAGCGCCAAATATAGATGTCACACTAACACGGACTCACTAGCAAGCTGTGTTCTGTTTTCATTTTTTGTCTATTTTATTATTATTTGATTATTTAGATTGTAAATTAATGTTTTTATTTTTATAATATACCAACACATTATTTATTTATTATGTTAGCAATAAATTAAGTTCACATAGTTATTTATATGTATGACATATCCATATTTATATATCCCAATTGTTGCTGTGCATTTGTGAGAAATTGACGGATTATTGATTAATAAGCCTCTTCTTGTATGATTGTGTATACTGTTGAATCTCTTCCCTTATGGTTCTTATTTGCAGATTATCATGTAGCTCGTTATTAGTGACAAACCATGGGGCATCTGACATGGTTCTTAAGACAATGTTTTGAAATCGTTGCAGTATGTTGATATTTGAGTCACTAGCACTTCCCCATAGCTGAATGCCATACGTCCAACATGGCTTCAGAATGCTTTTGTAAAAATTTATTAAGTATATAAATATTTATTAAGTGAGGACCGATATAAATATTTATTAAGTGTAATATATTGTTGTCCTTTTTATGTTAAAACTGTGGAAAATAAGCGTAAAGCCCGCCTGATGGTATGCGGTCACCATAGCATTGACGGTTGCGATACCAAAAATATCACCCACGCCACGCTAACCTTTTTTTCCGATGACGGGGAGAAAAAATGTATTATAACCACGACAATAACCAACGCCACGTTGGTTTGCTGTCAACAAACCCTCGCGACGCAGGTAATTGCGTGGTGCATTCGGCAAGCGGCGAGCAGTCCGAGGGCCGCTAGTCGGTGCGGGTATACTTTGACGTGCACTCACGCAAGCGTGGCATACGTCAAACTACCCCGCCTCCGACCGGCAGCCCGGTCCGCACCCGCTTTAGCCGATCCTGGACTTCTCCGTGCACAGCGTCACCTGACTAGTCTCAGGGACCGCAGTCCGAGCGGCTAGCCAGCCGACCAGCTCCCGTACCTACCAGGTAAACCAACTCCCCGATCTACCCCTCACCCTCCAGGCGTAACTGCGGGGTCCAGTTATGAGTCGTCGCTTGTTACTCCTGGGCGCCGCGCTACCCTGACTCAATCGGTCCCCCTATCCCGTAGAGCCCTGAAACCTTACTCACGGACCGAAACATCATCAAAATATAGAAATACTAGATGACCCAGCGTACCGTCATAAAAATAGGGGCAGGTGGTAGAGAAAATTTAGGGTTGTATGTATTTTTAATACCACATTATAAAAAAAAATATTGTCCAAAAAAATTTTAAGAGGTGTGTAACGTAGTGTTCTATCTATTTCCTTTGATAACATTCCTCCTAACCCATATTAGAACACTACGTTACAGTACCCAATAGTTTGAATTGGCGCGAAGGCGCATTGTAGGTTTCAGAACACTACGTTACAGGTGGGCACCCATTATCACTTAAGGATATGAAAAATAGATAGTAGCCGATTATCAGACCCACAGAATATGCATATAAAATTCCATAAGAATCGGTCAGGCCGTTTCGGAGGAGTATGGTAACTAACATTGTGACACGAGAATTTTATATATAAGATTTTACTCTGATCTTCTTTATGTAAGGGAGTAAACTTCCTTAGGCGTGCGCTCCAATTCAAGCGGAAAATTCCGCGATGCCCCACTCTTGAACTTACACTTAGAAATGTCACCCACCTATTTTAACCACAGGCGACAGAGCGGCGACAGCGTTCAACATTACCACAACCCAGCGCCACCCTCGCAACATGTTGCCGCAACATCACCAGACAATGTTGCTTGGCGCCGCACGACCTGCAACAAGAACAACGAAAACATTTTAATTATTATATTTAATTACTTAACACTTTTTTTATAGTTAGGTTAGGTTAGATGACGAGAAATGACTCCACCCCACCTGATGTTAAGTGACGGTGAAGCCTGAAGATAGCTGATACAGTAGTTCTACCTGCCACACCAGCCATCCTCACCCTGCCGGCCTGCATGTTGCTTCTTCACGCCTCTTTTAATAATTTTCATAATTTTGCAAAGTCACTTCGCCACAGAAGTTGTGTTTATAAGATTTCTTAAGACACGAAATGCAATGAAATTACAGTTTATACAAATTGACTTATTGAAAGTTTAAAAAAAAAACAGGAAATCTTTCAGCTGATGAGAACAATGGGCGTAAGATATATATATTCTACTCCTACCTACTTTTCATATGAAAAACAGTAGCGGCGTTAGGGTAGGACGCGGTTGGGCGACCGCCCAGGGCTTATATATTTATACGTAAACTAGCAAACCAGTGAACCAAATGTTCACCAAAAAAAAAATGTATTTAATTAATTGAGAACTTCGGAGATTTTGTGTGGTTTCGTTTGAAATAGAAATCACGTGATTTCTCGAAAACCGGAAGTGCTACGTTACTCACATCCGGTTTGTAGTCTTATCAGACTATTCTTAACTTATAAGTTAAACATTCTCTATACCTATCTCTTACGGTTTGGCCGCTGAAACAGCACCACGGACGGACGGACGGACTTGTCTATTAGATAAGAGATTCCCAAAATTTAGGGGAAAATCATTATGTTGGTAACACTAAAATGGTTCGCACCGTTCTATCCGCAACGCGGGAATCCCCGACCATAGAGAAACACACATTATTCATTATGGGTGTATTCCGAAATATAAACCAGCGGTAATGACGTCATGATTTCGACGCCATATTGCTGTCAATGGGTGTATTCCGAATCAAATACCAGTACGCTGGCCAGTGGTAATGACGTCATGATTTCGACGCCATATTGACAACACTACTACTACACCAGTGCAATATGGCGTCGAAATCATGACGTCATTACCACTGGCCAGCGTACTGGTTTATATTTTGGAATACACCCAATATGGCGTCGAAATCATGACGTCATTACCACTGACCAGCGTACTGGTGTTTGATTCGGAATACACCCATTATCGGTGCACGCAATTAAAAGAGTTATTCAAATTATTTTAAATTAAACCAAATACAGTAATCTCTACGCTACGTTCTCGCTACGTTTCGATGCTAATGTTTGACGTTTTTAACGTTCGACGTCCCGTCTTTCGAATGATATTAGTTTTATCGAAATAGTTGAAATGGGGTAACTAATGAAAATAGGGTACTTCCCGTTGACCTAGAACTATGGAAATTGGCAAGTAACATCGTTATAGTCACAAGTACAGGAATAAATCTGAAAATTGCACATTTGTGATAAAATCTTTAAAAAAAGGACTCTCGATTGAGCTTGATATTAAGGTTTTTAATATGGTACGGATGTATTCTTTCGAATGATATTTTTTATATCATATGTTAAAGTTAGAAAGGAGATTATTTTACTTATAAAACTACAAACAATAGGCATTCTGTTAAAAAAAAAATATCGAAGAAAAATCGACCAAAAAAAAGTTATACTTTTTCAAAGTTGTGTCTCAAAAAAATAACGAAAAGAAAATTTAACTCGAAAACTACGAAAACTCGTAGAATATACATGGGGGTTAAATTGATAGCTATGGTACTCCTCTATCACCTCGCACTAGCTTGACACCCTAAAAGAAACACTCTGTATATGAATATTTGCTTACCTCGATGACATAATCATTATCACCTGCATATGACGAAAGTACTTTAAAAAAAATTGTTTGTTGGTCGAAGGGTCGAATCGAGCGTGAATCCAATTCGTGATTGGCCAATTTTTTCGAATGGGTTTGCAGTTAGAAGGCGCGAGAAAAACAAGGGGGGGGCGTTGAAGAAGTTGATCGCTTTAGCGACCAACTTCATGCGTTACTTTTGTGTTTACCGCACATTAAGAAAATCTACCAGCAAAATAGAAATAGAATCTCTATTTAGTGGGTGCTAACGACTGCATTGTGAAGGCCTATCAAAAGTATTTATTAATCTGGAACAACGGAACCAAAGCGCGATTCAGGAGACTACAGCGCCATCTCTTGACCATTGGTGTAGTAGAACCAAAAACCACATCTTTATTTTTTGTAATAAAGTAACAGTTCATATTTATAATATTTATCCATAGATATTCATATTTATAATATTTATCCACATGTTTCTAGTTTGTTTATTCGGAATACGTGTTTGAGTTTCATACAAGTGCAAATCACATATGTTCTAATAAATTATATTCAGTAGCGATTTTAATGAATATTTTGATTATTTATTTATTTTTTCAAATTAAAACTGAACTTTATTGACTGTGTCCTTTTCCAGACTTTTTATTAATTTATTGTAATTAATTATTTGCATGCAATTAAAAACTAATTTTAAACGATGCCAAAGAAGGATAACTTCTCACGCGCCTACATAAGTACACGCACCCATTTTTTTGTTTGTTCATGCAGCTGTCAGCATGAAATCTTTTTACCCGACTGCGAAATGCAAGAGCGCGAAGCGCGACGCGCTGACAGGGTTAGTTAGTTAACAGTCTATATATTATGTATGTATGTTCCTTTGTGGCACACTAGAGATCAAACGCGTTGACCGATTTTGATGATTTATACATCAATCGATTCGTCTTAATCATAAGAGTGTTACTAAAGATATGGTAATCAAAATTCAATATGGGGACAATTAGGCGCCATATTGTGACGAAGTAAAAAAATAAGTTAAGCCTGGTCCGCGTGGAATTTTTTCTAGTTATATTTTCTTTAGATTTAAACATCAAGCAGTTACATGCTTTAAAAATAATAAAAAATTATAAAAAAATAAGTTGTCGAAATATGTCGAGTGGAGTATATTTGTCTAGATAATCGAAAATCATGTTTTAGCTCTTTACACCATTTTTCATTTTATATGACTGTTTAGGATCTACAACGCTTTAAAGTTGTATATTAACCACTTGCGCTTTTAATTTCCATTTTACGTTTGTATGTATCTTTGTTACTCTTTCACCTAAAAAATACTGAATGGATTTTAATGAAACTTACAATAATATAGCTCATACATGATATTTAAATATAGATAGATAGATAATAGTTTATGTAGTCATTGAGTGAATTGGCCAAAATATAGCTTGTCGTGTGCATAATGCTAAGCTAGTGTGCAAGTAAGCTAGCTGTGTAGTGTTGGTGTTTGTGGCCTGTGTGGTAATAGTATGAATACTTTTTCAAATATTAAACATTTGAAAGAAGAATTTGCAATTATAGTTATGTTTTTAATTTATTTCTTTAAGCATTTTACTGCTAGATCTTTAAATCTAAAGAAAAGTTTTACTAGAAAAAAGAACTATTTACTTTTTTCTAATTTTCTAAATTAATTTTTTGCTAATTCTTCTTTGTTTAATACTTGAAAAATTATTCATTTGACATTGTGGGTTACCTACAATGCGAAGAGATGGCGCTGCCTTGCAGCTTAAGGCTAGGAAAATTTCGACGCGGCCATTAGGGCCGTGGTAGCATAATTGATCAGTGCATTCACCCGGATTGCGAAAGGTGCGGGTTCCAATCCCGTCCGCTGCCTGGTCCGAGTGGATTTTTTTCTAGTAAAATTTTTCTTTGGATTTAAAAATATTACTATAAAAAATTCCACGCGGAGCAGGCAGCAGACGGGACTCGAACCCGCATCCTTCGCTATCCGGGCAAATGCATAAATTTAAAAATTATGACTATTCTTTAATTTAATTACTATTTCATCTTTCAAATGTTTAATACTTGTAAAGGTATTCGTTTGACATTGTAGGTTACCTACAATGTGTTGCGGCGACATCTATATGCCCCACATATATACAACGGATGGAGGAAATCATTACTCACCATCCTCAAGAGATGGCGTTACCTGCACTGCGATCAATATTAGTATGGAAGCCTACATCGCGCAAATGAAATTCGAAGGCTATCTCTTTATATATGCGATGCCCTACCAACATCAGTCGGGCCGCGGCCCCCGAGCTACTATCACCCAGCTCGGAGGAAAATCTTCCCCTTTGGCCTTCCTACGAAGAGATTGCGCTGCCTTGCAGCTTAAGAAAGGCTAGAAAGAATTTGACACGGCTAACAGGGCCGCGGTAGCATAATGGTCAGTGCTTTAGATTATCTAAGTCTATAGGCTGTCTTTGGTACCTTACCATCAGGCGCGCCATATACTTACTTGCCATCCGTTTAACTTAAAAAAAGTTCATTGATTTTTTCCGTAAGAAGCGACATGGGAATTCGTTCAACTTTTTATATTTGTTTTGCAGAAATGCCCTTTTAGAAAGGAGTAGATAACTTTTTTAAAAAGATGAATGTTATATATAGATATATACAGATTTACAGGAAAAGCCGGCCTAGTTATTAAAGGACTTTTTAGAATAAACCTTTTGGAAAGTTGGGTAAACAGAGTGAAAAAATACAAACATTTAAACCGTTCATTAGCCGCCATTTTATAACCAGATAGCAATTTTTCCAAGTTTAATTATTTCTTTTTATGCACTGGCTTCCCTTTTATATAAAAGCAAAAAGTCTGACCCAAGGGACGAAAATAAGTAATACAAGACCAAATTTTTGGATAACGGTTACAAATACAAGACCAAATTTTTAGTAAACGGTTACAAATACAACGCCATTTTTTTTGTAAAAGGTTAACTTTTCGATAGTAGGTCATAGAATCAAATCTATCAGTAATGAACTAAATAATAAGGAGAGCGCGTTCGGCTGCGAAGTTGAGCAACTTTCACAATGGTCGGTCATTGGATGGGTGACCAAAAATTTACTATCTCTTACTCCTTCCTGCTTCGGAAG